ACCAACGAACGTGATTAAACTCGTTCGGTGAAATGGTGGAGGCAGTTTCCCACCCTCGTAAGAACTTTTCAAACCAACTCCTCCTCTCGTAAAATAACTACCCAAAAAGGTAATGACCCAACTGTCACTTGTGGTTTAGTTCACCCTCATTAGCATATACTATTATAGCTAAATAAAAATAAAAGAAACACGGATTACTCTATTTTATTCAATTTTTAATATCTTCACCTTCTGTGAATTTGTTTGCAATTCAGTAGTACGAGTCTTGAAAATGTTAGATATTCTTTTTGGATGGAGAAAAGCTTCTAAGTGGTAACTGGAAATTTTGTTGAACCTCTTTTTTTGCAAATTGTTGTGTATAATTCAAGGTATCAATGTTCGACTGGTTTTTTACAGTAAGAAACTGATACGAAGGGTTCAGTGTCGTCTAAAGCTGCTCAAGAACAAGAGAAGTTGTATCGTGAAGCATTTGCGCGAGGATGTGGCCGAGCTTCTACAATATGGGCATGAACAAAGTGCATTCGACAGGGTAATTCAATAGAATTTCACTTTAGAAACACAACAAATATTTTTTCTTCTTTGAGAATATGGGTTGTTTATGATCTCATTTCTGTTATCGGTTTAAATATAGGGCTTCGTAGTCGAGTCTTAGTTGTAAAGGAATTGAATTTTCTGCTTGTGTTTGAGCTGATTAGCTATATCAGGAAGGGGGCAGAAGAGGAAGTGCCTGCCCTCAAATTAAAACAAGGATAAAGAAATCGAGTACCTATGCAAGAACTTAGAAGTCAAATTCAATATAGCCAACTTGTGTAACATATTTCTCTTTTAGATGTTATTTCCTCCTTTAAATATTGCCATTTCTGATGTAAGATATTCCATAAAAGACTTGGTTTTCTAGTCTTGACTCATATTTTGCAATGAATTTTCAGATTGAGCAGCTATTCAAAGATGAAAGTATGGTGGAAGTATATGATCTGATTCAGAATTTGTGTGAATATATAATCATTAATCTTCGCTACATCCGCAAACACAAGTATGTTTTGCTAAATCAATTCAATCGCATCCTTCTGTCGATAGTAAGTGGATTGTTTTTTGTTACGTTGTAGGGACTGTCCGGATGGTATTAATGAAGCAGTGTCTACTCTGATTTTTGCATCAGCAAGATTTGGGGATTTACCAGAACTTCGGTCCATTAGGAAACTCTTTGGAGAGCGCTATGGTCACAGTTTTACAAAGGCTGCGCTTGAATTACTCCCCGGAAATCATGTGAACCATCAGGTCTTTTTCTACTCAAATCAACGTCAGAGGAGTACATTAATTTAGAAATAACTAACTATTCAAATTTATCGTCTTATTTAATTGAAGATTAGGGAGAGTCTTTCCATACAAAATGTGCCAGATGAAGTGAAGTTCAAATTGTTAGATGAAATTGGTAGAGGGTTGCTGTTGCTCGAGTACAAACCCGAGTTGCAAGAGGAATCGGTAATTTGTTTTGCGTCTACTGCACTATGATAATAATTTGATATTTGGGATTTTTATATATCTTATAAAACTGCAGGTAACCAAAACTATAGGCAATAAGATCTCGAGTAGTGATGTTCAGACACATAACGACGAAATGCCGGTTTCTATAATTGAAGGGACACAGGGAAAGATGGTATACATTGATCTTTTTTCCGAGAAGCAAACAATTTCAAAAAGCGCATTCAATTCTTACAAATTTACAGCAGTCCAAAACTCGGCGCACATTATAGAAGAGAAACTAGTAATGTCTTTACAGCATAATGACATGGTTAAGTTTACAGTTTCAGAGTTTATTGGTGAAACTAATGGTGGAGGCATGGCAGATGAATCGTCTTCAGAAACTTCAGTTCGACTACCAGAAGAAGTGACATATCTTGACGACATAGAGGAATTTGTGTCTCCATTGAGCAAAGATGGAAATTCCCGGGATCAAAGATTCTTCGTGTTCAAATCATCTGCCGTTCCCTTGAAACCAAAAATAGATTATGCAAACGAGAATGATCTTAAGGAAAAAATCATGCCTCGAAATGAGAAGGTATCAAAAAACGTACGGAAGACTGGGAAAGCAGGTGGGAAAAGATTAGTTTCTATAGAGAATGTAAGTGTGAACGACGTTGAGTGTGCAAGATATTATGGCCAGAGATTATCAAAATACAAAACGAAATCTCTTAATCAGAGTAAGTATCAAAAGAAGATTTCAGTTGAAGACAAGAGTCGAATTCAAGAAAATGAAAAGCGCGTCGAGCATAAAGAGAAAGATTTGAGTTGTAGAGAAACCGCAGCCTCCGAGGTGTTTACAATGCATAGTCTAGAGGAAGAAACAAATCAATATGGAAGAGAAACAGAGACTGAGCAACCAAATTTAAGGGCAATGAGTCCTACAGAAAATGTTTTAAGGTCGAATTATTTCCCACTTCAGGAAATTAATGGATTTTCTTCTTATCGCCATATCCATCCAAAGCTTCCAGACTATGATGAACTAGCAGCCAAGTTCATTGCTCTCAAAAAGGCAAATTTGCAAAATAAGCAAAACCAACTGATTTGATCAGTATCTTCTCTCATCTGTTTAAGGTTTGTTTAAACATCTCTCTCTCTCAAATAGGAATTCATGGCTCAAATTTTCTGTAAATGGTATCTTATCTTTGTCAGTTAACTTCTCTGAAATGAAAATCCCTCAAAACCAGAATAAATTGAATGTAATTCATAGTTTATGGCATTGAATAAAGTTGTACTGTTGTCAGTTGTTTATTCACTCTGCTTCTTAGTTCATTTGTGGAAAAAAAAAAATGAAGTAAAAATGTAACAATAGGCATTTAGTGGAATTAATGACTTAGAACTCAGGAGTGGTTCCGACTTTAATAACAAGACTCCAAATTATAGATCACTATAGGTGACTCGTAAACGGGTGTTCGAACTATTTTACCTAACAAGAAGCTAAACATGCTTAAGTTACTAGATTTACGAGGATTATAGGGGACGATCACCATCACATGAAAGTTGAGGTTGTCCAAAAACTTGTTCGATACTACGAGTACAATATCTTAAGTACATATATTATGAACAAATAATAAAGTGTTGTGATGTTGAATCTCATGTGAATTGGTCTACTTGTGCTAAAGTAACTAAAAACTAGTTTCGGTGAGTTTTTAAGGACCCACAAATTGGTTAGATCCTTCTAATTAAGTACTTAAACAAACGACAATTAAAAATGTGCCGGCATTCATGATTTCAATTAACAGTCGTCCAATTAATTTTGCACAAACAATTTTTAACGTATGATCCATTTATGATAAACTCGACTATCCTAAGTTTAGTTAATTATCTCTCTCAAACGTCAAACTAGTACAAACTAAGTGTATTTACCTACAATATCCCCATATTGATCAATAACACAATCAATCGCATTAATTTTTGTGAGAATGATTCAAAGGGTCACCTAAAATTAGGAGTGTATATCTCTTGCAGTAATATAGAGCGCTTCCAATTGGGCTTAAAATGTACGATACCCATACAAATCAATAACAGACATTTGATGATCGAGCAAATGATAGACATGAATGACATAACAATCACAATATGAATATTAGTCATACAAGTTTAAAAAGAAGAAAAGGGCAAGCATTAAAAAATTAGTTAGGTTAATCATTCCACTTTTAGCTCATAATGAAAGTAATAAAATTACAAGAGATTAAGAAATATATTGGACAATTAAGGAAATAAAAATAAACTAAAAATATCACACCATGAGCATGTCATTTGATTGAACTTTTGGAGTGAAATCTATTGGAAATTATGTCTTGAAAAGCATAAAAGACAAAAATTTCTTGTATTCAGGACAAAAATCTTTTCTAGGTTACTACATGTTGCGGATATAAATAGTTAATCATATATATATGTTTAAAGCGGAATACCTATCACGTGATTAATTTCCTCTAGGTCGTATAATTCTTTGAATGTCAAATTTGATGAATAATCTTGAGTTTCTTGAATTTGCATCTAAATTTAAGCCGTCTCATTATTCTCAGAAAGTTAGTTAAATACATCATTTGTCTAACTAATAAACACTTTTACAGTCATCAATTTTTAAGGAGCCTGATATAGACATTCTAGAAAAAGATGCTAGTAGTTGAAGATCTACAACATGAAGTGATGGATTATGTGAATTTTTGGGGGTGAATCTCCTATTTTGTGTAACGACCCGGGTCTTTGTACTCAAACCATTAGCTTACGTACTGTCCGTTTTGAGTGGGCCTTGTGCCCACTTACCCTTCACGGCTTTCTATCACGTCCCCCAAGATTCAAATTCATAACATTTCCCTTAAGTAAAACTTAAATTGAATCCTGATAACGTCCCAAAAATTATGGTAAAATAAATATGAGTAGTCACAAAAAACTTTCTTTTATTTATTTTGATATGAGCAATTAAAAAAATGGATTTTATTTTAAAACTCTCACTTAAATAAAACAATTAGTTCAATGTTAGGAATAATTCCATAAATATGATTCAAATAATTTATTGATCAAATTGTCATGACATCATCAAATATCAATCAACAGTTTTGACTGGCACCTACCATATTCACAAACATGTAATAGGTGCCTTGTGTGTCCAAAAGTAAAATAATGATAGTTTATTTATCAAGTGGTCATGGTACCTGAATGCTAATTTGACTGGCAACGACATCATTTATGCATGTAGTAGGTGGATGGAGTGTGTGGGAGAGCAAATAACATATCCATACATGCATAAGTATAACTGGTGCGATGAAAATATATTTCATATTCGTACATGCATATATATTACACGTTTTATTCTACACATTTTATTGTAATTAAAGATTTGGTTCCACAGACATAAAAATAACACGTAAGAAATAAGTAATCAAGTAAATTATATATTTCTCATCTCTAAGTAAAAGTCGATATTAAAGATAAAGCTGAAATTAAATATATTTCATTATGTTACACTGGATTTGATTTATAATTTCCCAATATACTGGCACCACGATCACACCTCATCTCCCGCCAACTAATGACCTGTTCTAACTTGTGAGTAGCAGGAAAAAAGTGAGTATATAAAAATACTCAGTAGGAAACGAATAACGGTGTGATCCCCAATAAAATATCAAATCATGCATCAAAATAATCATACTGTCAGATTATATCTTTAGATTTCGGTAAGAGCTCATATCATATCATAACTATCATGAGTATAATATTTATCATCGTGAAGAAATAAGTTAAATGAGACTAACCACTTGCTCCTCGTAATCCTACATCGATAGATAAAACCGTTTTTGTTGGAAGAAAAAGCAAGAGGTTCGCGTTCTTAAAAATCTTTATTCTTTGTTTGTGGTGCTGCTGCCACTGTATGCAGGTATATAAATTTCTAGGATGTCCTTCGGGGTATAGTCCAGTGGTACAAATGACAGGAGTGATATTATCTCACGCTTTGCTGACAGTCGCAATATGAGATTCGATTCCTGATACACGGGACGATGGGGCCCTCCAAGTTGGGATTCAACCTTTTTTTTTTTTTTTTAAATTTCTAGGATAAATAATAAAAAATCTTGTATGGTATTTATAGTTGAGAGGGAATATTAAAAGCCTAAAAATCTATCAATTGGCATGCCCATTTTCCCTAAAAATTCTCAGTCAATAGTCATTCTTCAAGAAACGTGTGGCACGTCCATCACCTCTCCCAATCAAGGCAATTGTCCCTTTTCAATCTCTAAAATATGGGTAAATAAATATTAAAATAAAACCTACCTTATTTATCATAACTTGTGAAGAATAAGTCATTTAAACCTTCTAAAAAAAAGCTACCTTCTCTCTCCATCAAATCATAACCAATTAAAAATAAATTTCTCTATTTTTCCCAACCATAGTAACATAAATAATTATAAATTTTGGTAAGATCTTTCAACTATAATAACATGAGCATAACTTATCGAAAAAATTATTTCTCGAGTCCAATGTGCGTTATTTAATACGAGCTATCTAACGAGCCCAATATCGATATATAAAACCTCATTCTACCGATACTTAATTTTTTTGGCCCAACTAGAATTTGAATTCAAAATGTATTTCATTTTGTCCCCCTCAATTTACAAAATATAAAAATAAAACAAACACATTTTTATTCTAAAATTTTCAGGGCATTATGGTTTGGCCATTTGTAAATTGGCTATTGAAATTTATCAAGCTATATGTTTACCTTTTAAGTATTTCTTCATTTAAGAAAAGGCTTCTGTTTTATTAGAATTGGTGTCTACTCTCTGGTTGTTACCTTGTGGGTGTACTGTTTAAAATATTATCACATGGACAAGGAAATACATAATAGAAGTTACAATACTTTTATTGGTAAATGGGAGTTTTCCATATTTTCTTTGCTGTTGAAGAAGTTTCTCATATTTTCACTAGCAATTGGAAGGTTTCGTTTTTTTTTCTCCTTCACGTTGAAGTATGATTGATAGAAACACTTTGTTAACTTTGATGGAATATCTTCCATTTATTCCAAGTTTTAAATAAATGATGACTTACAATGCAATTATATGCAAAACTATTTTGTTTCAAATTATGTAATTAGATGACCAACAGAACAAGTGCCTTTGCTATCTATCTCTGACATTTCCCCTCCTAATTAAGATCAAGTGTAGAGGAAATTGAAGTCTAGAGCTTACTTGAGCGGCTTTCTATTGAGAAATATTAGTTAGGCAAATATTATCAAGTTTTTTCTTGAAAAAATAATGAAGGCAAGTGTCTTGCCCCATCTTGACCTGTCCTGCCTTAAATGAGTATCGAGACGGATATGGTGCGAAAAATTACCCTGCGGGCTGGGACAAGAGAGGTTGTTTTGACCCATACCTACCTTGTTGCCGTCCCTAACAAAATTCTCCAATTATTTACCAGATTACAATCTATCAAATGTGGCCCTTGTTTCATGGGGATTAAAATAAGATTTTTAGTAAATTTTGATAAAAGTTGATAAAATATGTAATTGAAAACTTGTGAGTTCTATAAAATATATGGTTAAAATTGACTATTAACTTTGATTTAGATTAGAATCACCACAAATGGGGGCATAATCTGATTTCATAGATTGTACTCCATGCGACTTAAGTCCCACCACAAAAACCAACATCAGCACTATCGTGAACTTGCATAGCGTTCGATCATGGTGTTGCTTCTTCACCATTCCATCATTTAGTCTGGGCAACCTCGTCGTCGCCACCCTTTCCCATTCTCAATCTCTTCAATCATACTCATCTTAGTGTAAGACGGAGATGTCATTATCCAAAAAGTCCACCCCCAGCTCCCCTCAGGCTAGAAGTTGCCCCTCGCTTGCCGAATCCTCTCTTTGGGTCAGGTCTCTCCCATATCAAAAAATTTGCATTTAGAAACCCCCCTGATAAAGACCAAAACAACTACTAATTCTCTCAAACTGTCCTACCCACGTAGTCCTTTAATTCACAAAAAACCGTGATGGACATTTGAGGATTTACGATGTGAGGTTGAATTTGAAGGGGAAGAATTGGGGTCCTGTTACAAATTAGGGAAAATTGTATCTATTATATTCTAGTTTAAAAACTGTTTAAGTCAATTTTATTTTATTTGTAAGAAGTTTCAATCTTCAATTTATTTAAGAGTTTGTTATTTGGTCTTCGTTTG